CCACACCCACACACTCACACCCACACCCCACACCCCGCCTATGAGTCCCCAGTAGCCCTTGGCGCCTCCCCCTTTATAGCCTCATTTGATCCTTGACCTTTGACGCGGTACAAAGAAACAGACAAACAAACTTTCTGCTTTATATATTAGATATGGAGGTTCGAAAGCAACCAACATGAACGTAAGATCAATCAAAAATAAATAAATAATATACACAATATTTAACAACATCACAGTCCATTTCTACTATCTTAGGTTACCTATTTTCATCCGTGTTTATTAGAATCCAGTACTTAACGTATATTTATTCAATTAAAATTGAATCATTTAGATTAATTTGGCATCTGATGGCTTCGTAGCTAAAGCGAAATCTAGATTATGGTAGCTGTTCTCACCCACCCCTAGTTTTTATTTATTGTTTTTTTTTCAAATTGGTTTTTACTGGATATTTTTATGTTTTCAAATATTCGGGAGTGTGACGTTCATCAAGACGCCTGTTAAAGTATTTAATAAAGATATAGACGAAGTATTCAATGAAGCCACCTGACAGTTTGTTAAAGTAAACACGTCGCGTAGTTCCATTACGTTGATACCAGCTGGTATTAAAGTCTATGTTACGATCAAAAAATATTTCTGGAATATCACAAGGTTTTTCTAGATCAATAAGAAGGTCTTCCCGTGGAATTAATTGTTTTATTGTGTTTCTTTCAAGATATGTATCTAGATGTTTAGTTGAATCCTCTTGTGCAGGTTGAGCACATAAAAAGTGAACCAAATAAACCATAATGATAACTATCTGTTTATATAAATCTTGCCGATCATCGTTATCTTCAATCTTCAAATCAAAGCAATGCGCAACGGCTTTTCGAATGAATCGAATAAGCCTATAAGCATCAGCGTCAGTTTCTGTGCAAATATAATTATGATACCCGGGCACTTCTTCAAAGTGATGCAAATTTCGGCATTGTACGTCGGTATATCTGCATGAATTGTTTCTATACCAAAATGGACAAAGATTTGTTTGTCGATATTTTGTCCCATGTACACGGGGACATTGATCACACTGACATTGTCCATCTTGAATTAAATCATAACAAACTCGATGATCCCAAAGAGCAATCTCAGATGCTAGGTTTGTTTTCGACTGTTCATAAACATCGAGAAATAAAAGAAGTCCTTTTTCCAGACGGGCAAATGTAACTGGACGGTTTTCTGGTCGATTTACATAAAAACCATGGACGTTTACAGCTTGTACGTTTTGTACTGGATCAACATTGTCCATCGTAGTAAATGCGATGAAGAGTATAAAGAAATCAAATGATTTCAAGCTTGCTTTTTTTCTTTCTTCTTATATTGAAGTTTTTCTCATAGATGACAGAAAAACAAAAGCAAACGTTCTGTTTTTTCACATGAGTTATTCTTCGAATGAAGCAGTATCTCAAAACACAAAATCAAATATTGTGAAAGACTTTTGTTTCACATACGTCATACTTCATATAAAGCGGTGTCTCAAAATTCAAATGCAAATAATGCGAAAGACATTTATTGCACATACGTCATTCATCAAATAAAGTAGTATCTCACAACACAAATCTCAGTATTCTGAAACCTTTTCTTGAGAAACAGCCAAACATATCGTCATCGAAATTTCGATTTTCCTTCAGAGTCAGGTTGAACATCAGCGTGCGAGGTCGTGGAAGAGGCTAAAAACAAACATTTCCTCTTACTCTCCCCCTCGCCGTCACAATCATCCTCACCACTCTCCCCACAGGGTATGGGTGTGGGTACGAATCTTCTCTTCGACAGAACCCACACCCACACCCACACCCTTATTAAGCTAGTAACAAGAATAAGCAGTGGGTTTCTTTCGCATTTCTAAAAATACCTTGGTTGCAAATTCAATCAAAATGGAAACCAAATATATTGATTAATTTTCATGCAGAGAAAAAGAAAATGGAAAAGAAACCGTACATAAAGATGAGTTCGTGAGTGAGACTGTCGATGTATGGAAGCTACAGCACTGTGTTTCCACTCAGCTACGAGTATCATCAGACGACTTAGAATCTCAATTCCGATTGAAATTTCGAGAAGAAATACAATCAAGTCAAGAGGATGTGGGGTATGGGTATGGGTATGAGTGTGGGTATGGGTGTGGGTGTGAGCGTAGGGTGTGGGTGTGGGTGTGGGTGTGTGGATGTGGGTGTGGGTGTGGGTGTGGGTGGGTGGGTGTGGGTGGGTGTGGGTGTGGGTGTGGGTGGGTGTGGGTGTGGGGTGTGGATGTGGGGTGTTGGTGTGTGTGGGCGTGTGTGGGTGTGGGTGTATGTGGGTGTGGGCGTCGATGTCGATCTATCAAAATCACTCCGACATTCCGCACCCATCCATGCCCACATCCACATCCACATCCCACATCCACACTGACACATCCACACCCAAACCCCACTCACACATCCACACCCACATTCCACACTCACACATCCACGCCCACACCCCACACCCATGCCC